TTATTTTCGAGTTTCTCTTTAGTTAGTTTGTTCTTTTATACTTTGAGCAAGTTTTTGGCTTTAGTGTAAGGGATGTTAATCAAAATTTTTATTACGCTTCCGCATTTGACCTTTTTAATACACATATTTCATTTTAAAATTCCGGGGCCGTTACATCATGAAATAAAAATTCTACTTTCGTTTTCAAGAATTTGTTTAAAATTAACGAGTAAATTGATATATAAATATATATAATTACCATCTTCATGATACAAAATTAGACAAACATACAATTAAAATGTAATTATGAATTAATTTAATTACATATAAGAAAATAAAACATTGTTAATACTTTTAATTATTTATTTAGTTCTAATAAAGAAATTTTGTAGAGGCAAAGAAAACTATATAGAGAAAATAGTTAACCCTTCATTGTAATGTTAATTATAAGCAGATTTACCTGTAATTTTAGACATTAAATAGTAAAATAAGCTTAACACACTTTTATTATCTAATGTTGTAATTTCAGAACAATGCTAACAAAGTGATGTTCATTTTTTTTTTCCCCCAAAAGATTGGTAAATTAATGCCTGTTCTGAATTAAGAATAATAATATAGATTGTGGAACCATCAAAATTTTTAAAACCCAAACTTTCTAGTGTTCTCCATAAAGACAGAAAATCTAAAACTATGTTCAAACTATACATTTAACTTTTCAACCGAAACACTATTAACTTCAAAACTTGATCATGACCGTGTTAATTTAAATAAAATAATCTATAAATCTAAGTTATATTGTATTAATACGAATTGAGATATGTAAATTTCCGTGAGAATTAAAAAAATTAAAATAAACCAAACAGAATATATATTCTCCGTAATTTCGATCTTTAAATAAGTAGATCGAAAATTCTAATCCAAATCAATTCAGTTTTAATTCCGTTTTAATCAAAATTATTAATTAAAAAAAAAAAGACTTAAAGCAAAAAAAAACTCCGAGTAATTAAAAGGCTATTCCCTTTTTGGTCGTGCCTCTCATCATTACTCACTCCCTCTCGCCTCTCAACTCCTTTGGACTTCCCTCTCTCAATTGCTCCGGCCTCCACCAAAAATCGAACCCTTTAGGCATTTCCAAATGCCAATGGCGCCTCTCAACTCCTCTGAATTTCTATGCTCTCTCTCAACTACTTCTCCTCCAGGCTTCAACCAGCCCAACGCGTCACTCCTCTTCTCTGCTAATCTACTATCAAATGTTTGAATCCATGACTTTATAACATAATTTTTATTTAGAAATTGAGCAATCCATGTTTTCACGTAGTGTATCGACGTGTTCATTAAGGAAATGTAAACGAGGGGAGTAGAAGATGTAGGTGAGTTGAATGAGTCGGGAAAGCTAAGGAAGTTGCAGAGGTGCCAAGGACGGCGAGAAGAAGGTTGGGAAGGGAAGTTGCAAGGCTTTTTTTTTTCTTTGGAGGGGATAAAACCTTATATAGTCAGATCTTCCATCCGGCATTTTAGGAGTTTTTTAATTTCGGTTCTTTCTGGATCTGGTTCGATTTTAGACTTCTCCATACCCTTAGTATTTACGACAATATCGAAATAGTAAATATCCTCCATAAAAACAATAATAACGAAACAAAACAAATAAGTGAGCACTAATGTATACAGAACCAGTGAAGACTATCTATATTGAAGAATACTTCAATAACTTCACTAAATCAAAGATTTTGAAAATAATACAAAACCAATGAAAACTCTGTCCAAACTGACTCACATGCCCTTCTAACCAGAAAAGACCAAATCAACAACTCTAACATTTTGAAAAAGAACCCTGACCCTACAAAGGATAAAAAATAAACTTATCTTTATCCTGTTGTTGCCCTAATCTATTTGGAATCCCGCCGCTACAGGGCCCTCCACCCTTTGGTTTTGAGAACCAGAACCAAATGGGGAAGGGCGAAAAAGACACAGCAAATGATAAAAAATAAAAAATAATAAAAAGAAGACTATACTGTGTGTGTGTTCTGTTCTTTTTCCAGGATCTGCATAAAGTTTTCACCATGTTTAACACAGTCTCATGGTGTCAACCATCCTGATATTTATTCAGCCACTGTATGAGAGCTAGACCTAGTTCAGCAACCCTTTGATCTTCCCAGAATTGCTCAAATAGGGAGCAAGTGTCTTTGCCACCAACTTGAACAACGAAACATTTAATTGCCAAAGACCAGTCTGAGCTTCATCCCAATGCTAACTTAGTGTTCTGCAAATTGTAGTGACAAAGTGTGTCATTGCATCAAATAGATGTTAGATATCACCTACATAGCATGAAAAACAAACATAGGTATGCTCCATTTGATTTGATCAGGCCTAGCCAAATCCACTAAGGTTGTTTATACAGAGATTACTTTGTGTAACAGATTCATGATAAAAGTAATATTTCCTTTCATTATTATGTAAAAAACTCAAATGATCAGCAAATTTCACTTGGATTCTACCAATAATGAAGAAAGGCGACAACCCTCAGTATATACCAATTATATAAAGTAGTTCATCTATTATATATAGTAAAAGGTCCAACTAGGCTGAGCAATTACAACCAGTAGGCAGTCATCACCAGACCATAATATTACCAAACTCAGTCACGTGCAATAAATCTAAATGGGGTTCTGTGAATTACCTTCAACCAAAGTTGAATCCACCAGAAGGAACAGGAAGTTCATTGCCCCCAAAGCGGAATCCAGATTGGGAAGCATCACCAGGAGGTAATTGCTCCTCGTCATCATCTTCTACCCAATATGTCTCAAGAATCTTCACTGCCTTCTCATATATCTTCATTGTTGTCATGACTCTGAAAGGTTCTCAATCTTTTCTAACCCTTCTGCATCATCAACTAATTGAGCATACAGATTTACATTTTCCCCATTGCCCATATTCTTCTCAGCTTCACGACCTTTAGAATGTTCTCAAGTCCTTCCAAGCACACAGTGACAATTCTTGGATCAGGGCAGTTAAGGAGATCACACAATGGCTTAATGCACCCTTGGCTCACTAAAAATCTAGCAATCAGAAACAAAATTAACATTTTTAAACGTGATTACTTGAACAACAGAAAATAAAAGACAGAACACGCAGGAATGTGAAACTATACTTGATTTGTTCAGGGGTGCCACCAGAAGTAGCATTTGAAATAGCCCAAGCTGCCTCCTTCTTAATCTCGAATTCAGCATTTTGAAGCAAAAGAACTAGAGGTTGAATAATACCAGCCTGAATAACAGCCTGCATGTTTTTCAAGAACTGTCACATATAACATCCATTTATATAGAAATAAGAGATAACCATGCAAATCAAGTATTGCAACACCACAGTTCCAACAGTAAAAATCAATTATTGAACCTTTACTTTCTATTTATATCTCAATTTCCTTGAAACACATTAGACATCATGAATGAGCTCACCAGGAATGCTTCACATAGTTTATTAGAAGCTCACCTGTATCTGATCTACATTTCCAGCTGTGATGTTTGAGATGGTCCAGCAAGCTTCTTTCTTGATACTCTTCTTATAAGTTTGTGTCAACAGGTTAAAAAGGCATGGAAGAGCTTGATGGCTTATTATGACCTGAAAGATAGAGAAGAGACATGGCATCAGATTATTGGCTTACTAATTCATGACTAGGGAAAAACTACTTATAAATATTTCTAAGCATAAAAGAGGATTAACTAATTTGTTGTTTTGATATGAATGTTTTGACAAGCCCATAAACAAATCACAGAACAGAAAAGAAGGTAATGTGGCTCTTGTGACCTCTGATAAAATTTCGTACCCAGCATTTGAGAAATGGCACTGATAAGATCAACTTATGTTACTTATGGAATTTTGTAAGCAAATGAGCACGGAAGACACATCCGTGATTTTTTTATTTCTTTTTTCAATCTTTTGAATCAAAAGACAAAAATAATTGTTGTATTTTGTTTCTCACCTAATATACAACATGGAAACGAATGACTAGTACTTCACAAATAATCACTTCAAGCCAATTGTGGTCTGATACAATTTTCATAAATTATCTTGGCCAATTTATGCTCAATAGTAATTGAGAAATGTTTTTACTTAGTTCGGTCAATAGATAACTCTATCTTTCTGATAACATTTTAGGGCAACAAACTCAGAGGATAATCAAAGGTGTAAAATATTCCATCTAAAAATGTGCAGACTAACCATATGACAATTCAAACACATACATAGAAAAATATTAATAAAAAATTATTTGTTAGAGCAGAAACATATCATAGTTCAAGTAGCCAAGCAAGTGGTAGTATTGCTCCCACACAGCAGAATAAGCAGTTTGATTCAAATACAAATACAAATAGCCAAGATTTATGATTAAGCTGATCAATTATATTAAAATAAGGAAAATAATATAACTAAAACCAATTAGAAAATTTTAAAACAGAAAGCCATAATCCTATTAAACACCTGCGTTTGCATATCATCTCCAGTGACAATGTTTCCAACTGTACGAAGAGCAGGAATAAGCACTGACGGAGATGGATGACTACAGACCAAACCAGAGAAATGTTAAACTAAAATCATTCAGATTTCACGGGTAAAACAGAGGAATTTCTTTTGGTCTAAGAAAATACACATAAAAATAGTATTTGGTACTCACAGTAAAAGTTCAACTAGGCGAGGGCAAACACCGGCCTCAATAACAGCTTGAATCTTGTCATTGGTACCATCTGAGAGATACGATAATGCCCAGCAGGCATCTGTGAGAACTTCCTCATCATTTGAATGTATAAGGCGCTCTAAGGCAGGTAAAGCAGGTTTTGTCTGTTTATGGAATTTCAAGAGCCCCACACATTAATAACAGATATAAATACTAGCAATATACAAGCATGAACAAGTGCATGCATAGGGTGCGTGCATGTGTGCATGCGTGTAACTCATACTGTAACAGCTCTTCCGAATTTCAACCTGCTCAAATGAAGGCTGAGGCTTCCCTCTGCAGAAGTTTGATAAAGTCCATGTAGCATTTCTCAGCATTGAGAGCTTGGCATGCTCATTAAATTGTGCCAGCAAAGGCATCAAGGCCCCATGGCCTAGGACCATGTCACGGCATTTTGGGGAGTCACCAGCAACATTTCCTAATGCCCAAACAGCCTATAATCACAGAAAGAGTTTATCAGCACCGAAAAAATTAAACGTTGCTAATCAAAACATTTCCAAAAATTTCATTCCCCAAATTTATATATAAAATTTGTTTGGTAATATGTGTTTTTGTGATAACAGGATTTAAATAAAAAGAAATTTTCTAGAGAACATAAAAACTTTATCATTTTTATCGACCTTGTGCTGCATTTTCACTATCTAAATATTCTTTTTATTTTCAACTACATTATATGCTTTTGTGAATAAAGATATGTAAATTTAGGAAATGAAATTAGAAAATGTGCTTATATGACAGTGATCAGATGCAAAAAAAATTTAAAAAAAACGCATAGAGAAACAATTGAAAGCATAGAAACATATACCTGCTCACGGACATCATCTGTGGGTGAACTAAGAAGCTTTACAAATATTGGGACAGCACCATGATCAATCACAACCCTAGTGTTTTCTGATGTCCCAGATGCAATATTTGTGAGAGCCCAAGCAGCTTCAAACTAAAATCAGAACCAAAACAATGCAACAAAATTATTAATAAGACCAAGATATAACTTAGTTTAACAGATTTAAACCAAAGAACATTAATAGAAAATTAAAACCTGAAGCTGCGGGAAATCATCCCTCGAAAGAAATTCCACAAAACGAGGGACAACACCCGACTGTACAACTTCATTTATTGGCGGGCTACGTTCTGTAGACAGAGAGAAAGTAAGACAAATCTACTGAATACATGATAGTAGGAATAAGAATACATCAGAAAATAAAATAAAATGAAATATCAACCTATAGAGAGCAGCTTCCGAAATTGAGTGGTTGCCTCCAGTTGTGCATTCCTGTCGTCTGACCAAACACCGGCAACCATAGCAGGCAGACTTTCCAACTGAAACAATATCCATACCTCATTAGCTCAAAAGCAAGCTAAGAATAACCAAGATTATCATAATATTTCTTTTTTTTTTTTTGTTAAAAATCAAGATTTGTATACACAACAATTTGCAACACTTGTTATCTTCTGTATACCCAATCTCTGTCACCTGGATAGTCTATCCAAACTGGCTATGTCCCAATTCCCATTGCAACTAGATGTTCAATTATTACTCCACTGAATGCTCTATATTAAGACTAGCTTAAGACAGAACCTGAACTAAGAACATCCCAGAATAAAAAATGAATCAGACAGTAGATCAATTATCTCCAGTATTTATTTGTACCTCAGATCAAATCTAGCTCTTTTCTTACACTTAGCAATTTCATTGAATAGATATTAAAAGCCCTAGCAGTACCAAAGAAAAGCCTCAATAACTATAGTGATTTTCGATACTTCCAGTCAGTTCAAATTCATTCTTCATAAAACAGAAATCAGAAAATAGACGAAATGAAAAGAAAGTTAGCCCTAACTCGATGATCCATTGAATTAAATCAAGCAACAATTGACCCAAGCTCATTTCTTATACATAGTTAGACAAGGAAAAAGAATAAAGAAGACTGCGGTAATAACACACAAAACGTAGTGGATAATATACCTTCTTCTCGGTAGTGGAAGCGGGGGCGAGAGAGGAAGGGAGCTGCTGCTGTTGCTGCTGCAGCTGCTGCGCAGCAAGGAGTCCTTCGCGTCGCTTCTTTTGCAAGCTCTCTTCCCTTTTATTCTTCCGGATCTCGACCATGTTGTCCTCCCTCCTCCGTCGACCCTCTTCTGCATCGACCGACACCTTGTACTTGTTCCGACGGACCTCGGTCCTAGCACTCGGTCTCAGAGACATGGTCGCTCGCTGTATCAATCAAAAACCAATCAAAAGAAAACTTCAAAGTATTGAAAAGGATCTATCTATACTGACAGCCAGATAAAGAGAGAAAGAGAGGGAGTGACTGAAGAAACCTACGAGTGAAGAAGACGAAGAAGAAGAAAAGAAGAAGAAAGCTTTTTTGGAGTTTTATATTCGAATGAATGGAAGAGGAGGGGACTGGGTGATTGTACATATATATACGGTTTTTACTTGAAAAGTAAAGAAAGGTTTTTCAACTACCGGCGGATCGGAAAATGGCCTTGGATTTTAAGTTAATAACAGAAATGCCACTCAATTTTTGAATTTTGAAAATGGACAAAGTCTCCAACTGCCTCTCCGTCGTGGTTTCCAGCCTAGAGAATGTTTTTAAATTAAAAAAAAAAATTAGAAGTCCCGAAAATTAACGGCTTTAAATTTAAAATAATGTAAATAATATTAAAGGATGATGCAAATGAATTATATAATAGGAAGTGACCTGGAAATTCATTGAACAATTTTTAATTGACAAATTAAATTTTCTTTTATTGAAAATTTAGCATTTATTTTTTAATAAAAATATTAAAATTTATGAGTTTAATTTTTGAAGTATTTTATTTTATTTTATTTTAAAATTTTCTGTTTTAAGAATGTCGGCATCTAATGATATCCGAATTATTATTTTTTATGCGATATATTTTACCTTTAAAATATATATATATAATTTTATAACTAAAATAAAAACAAAATGATACATTGTCTATCATGTAAACAAATAAACAAAATATATTAATAATATATCATATATAACGTAATTTGAATATTTATTGAGTGATATAATAAATTAGTATGTAAATAAAAAATTATGAAGTGAATGATATATAAAATTTTGCAATTTTGTCGATATAAGAGTGCAAATTAGCTATACGATATTCTATAAATTACGGATAAATTTTCTCTATAAGTTAACTACAATAAAATAAAATCTCACATAATAGTTTAGAATTAACTCTAATACTAAAAATATTTATGTGATATGTATAACAACGGGATAAATGAAAACAATCTAAATTTTAAAATAAAATTACATTTTTAGATATAATTAATGTAGTAAATAATCAAATGTATATTTGTAAATCAAGTTCAATATTTACTACATTTTATTTATAGTATGATAGTTTAGTATTTAAGATTATATTACTTTAATTAAATGTCACAATTTATATCATTAATGAGTATGTAAAACTCTTTATTAGTGTAATATGAGATAATGATGGTTGACTAATTATATTTTATTCAATTATTTTATTAGTTAATTTATTAGTGTATTTGTGATAGTATAATAACTAATTATAGCGAGTCATTATGATTTTATCTAAATAAATATTTCGTAATAACTAAATTGTTTAAGTTATAGTAATTACAACAAACAAACATTATAGACCTAACACATCAACTAGCAACAAAAAAAAATCAATATTTTTAAGACAAAATTATTAAAATTTTATTTGCAAAATCTCTTTACTTCTTGTGCATTAGATATATTTCGTCATATTATATATAAAAAAATTAGAATATCATCTATTTAAAAATAAATACTATTCGCTTGTAATTTATCATTTGATATCGGGTTTAAATGATAGAATATTGAGCTTGCAATTTATCATTTAATATAATGTTTAAAATAAAGAGATTAATTTTTTTGAATTATACAAATTTATTGGCTACGATAATTGAAAGAACAAAATATATATTTAATAAATATTAAATTTTCGTAATCGAGATAATTACAAAGAATAAAAGTACTAAACTTAATATATTAATTAGTAAAAAATATTACTTATTTTATAAACTTATAGATTATCCTTACTCTTTATATATTAGATATTTTTTATCATATTATATAATAAAAATTATAATATTATTTATTAAGAATGTACTACTGTATTTATTTATTAAAGGAAAGAAGGTTGTATTTCTTGAATTATAAAGATAACCATAATAATTGAAAAAAATATGTATAAAAATATATGCATTATATAAGAAAAAAGATATGAAACCTTAAATAATATTCTAATTAAATAAAAAAAAATTAACAGTTTAATGTTGTAATGATTTTGTTGCATGTAGTTGAGGTAAAATATCTTTTTTTTTTTGAGAAAAGTAATCCATCATCATAATAAATGTTGAGGTAAACAATTTAAAGAGACATCATAATAGAAGTTTTGTATAGTTATATTATCATGCTGTAAATTAATTATGATATTTCCAATAAATTTTCCCAAAATTTTCATTTAATTAAAATTCAATCATAATTTTACGAGATAAATTTAAAAATTAAAATATATTATGAAAAACATTTTTAAGTTTAAAGTTATACATATTATTAATTATGTAAAACATACAAACAATTTATAATATAGTATTGAATGAATATATAATAAAATATTATAATTTAATTAAGACTTTTAAATTTTTATAGATGATGAAAAGTATTAATGTAACACCCCAAAACTATTTTTGTTTTTATATTGAAATTTTTTTTGGATTTTATTTTATTTTTTAATAGTTAATTTATTTTGTAATAATTATATGTTTAATTTAATTTAATAGAAATAAAAAAAATAATGATAAAATAAGGTAAAATTATATTTGGGAATTAATTGAAAATGATTTTAGAAAAAATGGGTGAAATTTTGGATTATGGTGGTGTTTTTGAAAAGAAAATCGAAAACTGGGGGGTCAAAACGTAATTTAGTAAAAATACACCACGTCAGCAGTCCCAGCCAACCAGGACACGTCGCGTGACAGGAATGCTGACGTGGGAAGTCACGCGGGACGAGGCCCCGTGAGTGATCCGCGTGCGCGCGATCAAACAACCTAGATCCGTTCTCACGCGCACAGACGGTCCAGATTTATTCATATTTTAATCATGATCGAACGGTATAGATTAAATCGTGATGGACGGCTGATATTAAAAGGGAAAAGTTATAAATAACCTCACCCACACCCAACTCCAAACCCTAGCCGCCAATACCCTCGCCGTAGAAGACGACCCAGCCACTAGAGGAACCGGCCGCCGCCACCTGCTGCTGCACCAGAGGATTTTTCGACCGCCAAACGAGGTAAAGTTTCTCCAATTGGCTTGTTTTTCGATGCTAAATCCACCTGTGGCCAAATCGGAGTCAAACCACTGGCCAATCGCCCAGAAAATACCGCTGAAACCCAGCGGTGTCGTCGCGGCTTTCCTCGATTTTTGCCTCCGATAAAGCCCTTCCCGGTTCCTGTTCGATACAATTTTTACACCACTGTGATCACCGTCCTTTTCTTTACAGGTTGACCGGAGTAAAACATTGATTCGCGACTCGTGCCGGAGAAGCCACCGCACCTGAGATCTTCGCTACCGATAAATCTCAGTTTTTCGTAATTTTTTGGCCCACCGAGGGCCCTAGGGTTGTTTTATCGCAGGAACTAATGCAAATTTGGTCGAAAACGGCTGAAAACGGCCAACCCGAGGCGGATCGCAGCTATGGGCGGCGACACCGTCGCCGGAGCACGGCAAAACCGCCCTGCTGGAGTTCCAAAAATGGCCGAGTAGGCCTTGGGACTGTTTTTGAGTTTTTTCGGGATATGTGTATGTACCGGAAGTGTATTTCGGTTCCCAAGAAAAGAAATTCAGGGAATCTAGGGGCAGCCCATAGGCGCAGTGAGAACCCGATTTCAGACTCCGAAAAAAGTAAGGATTTCTTACCCTATTTTCTATAACGGTATTAAAGCTCAATAAATAATAAAACGGTATTTCATGAATTAATACATGTGTATAATTAATTAAAGTTATTAATGGAGCTCGAATCTGATATATTTTTCGGTCAGTTGTTGTTTGATCTATTTTACATTTTTAAATGCAGTATGGTATTTGATGTGTTTATTTTATGGTTTCGTATGCATGAATCACAGTTTCGTTTATTATGATTTGAATTATTGTGAACCCGTTGTTGTCTTATTTGGTGTTCATTACTGGTTTATGTGTTTATATTTGATTGGATAATCAAGACCAAGAAAAATAGAAAAAGGTATGTGAATTGATAAATTGATGATGTTGATAGCCTAACTAGATATCCTGGGAGATGGTGGACGGATCGGGTTCGTAGGGAACCCTACCGGGAACGTGGTCTTTCATATCGGATGGGGTATAGAGACCTTATGTGTTTTGGCACCCATACCGGACGGGGTATGGGGACGGCCCTGGAATCAAGTTATTAATGTGAATGGTTCACGTGTAGCGGGGACCCTCTTTGGATCTCCATGGATACTAGTAGACTGATAAAAGAGGAAAAATGTTGTCTGATGATTGAAAAATGAGAGTTTTATATGTGTTATGTTATAAAGTGTGCATGATTTTATGATGTTTATGATGTTATTGTGTTTCATAAGTTGTCTTTCATGAATCTTAACGAGATAAGTGGATAATAA